GTAGCTAAAGGAGCGGGGACTTTTGGGCAGCCACCCTTAGCCAGGCTTTCTCTCTTTAGAGTGGTACCCCTTAACATACCACTGCACATTCAAAAACGTTTCCTTGTTCCTTAGCCTGACATTCTCTCACATCAGCTGTGCTGCTCTGCAGTTAACTCTCCCCACAGTTTTACTGACAGTTCATGTGAATGCTCCCTAATTTGGACCAGAGTGAACTATCTCAGTGGAGTGGAACAGTCAATGTCATTTCTGTGGACAGATGTTCTCCCTAGGCAGACCCCAGCTGTGCTGGTAGAGGAGATACCCAGCACTTGCTGCTCATTGCTACATGCAGTTTAAGGCTTCTGCCCTCAGGTTTGTTCTGAGCTAGGCACATGAATGCCTTGTTCCTTCAGAGAAATGCCTTGTGACCAAAATCCTATTGTTTGAGCTACTCATCTCGAGGATAACCGTAATGCTCACTTCTGTCTAGCAAAGCTGTGGGAGCAGTAACTTTTGGGAGATGGCCAGCTAGCATTTCTCACCAAGGGTTTTTCACTCAAGGGTTAAATGTTTGTAGGGAGAACATCTGCTTACAGTCCAACAGCTCATTCAAGGATGAAATGAGGCAGCAGATGCTGCAGACTGGCCTGTATGGGATACTCATGGATCATATTGCTTCCTGATGTGTGGCCACGGCCCATGACAGACTGCTTGGACCCCAGAGAAGTTGGTATCACCGCCCAGGGGTGAGCATCTCCTTGTCCTCCATGCTCTACTGCTCTCAGTCATACAGGTGCTGTGGGAGGCAGCCACAGGACTCAAAAGGCTTGCTCTTACCCTTCTAGAAATACACGGATCTGCTGTTGGAAAGGAATGAGAAGAAGGTGTCTTGACAAACAAACTGTGGGCCTGATACATAGATAAGGCCAGATACAGCAAGGTGAAAGAACCAATGGGAGAAACCATAAATTCCATAGGAATTCCACTAATTGACACAGACTGTTACTCACTCAAGACTACGCTAAATCTCTGGATTTAGAGAAAAAAAAAAACAGAGACAAAAAGAAAAATGGGAGGGGAGGTTATACATTAGAAGGGGTATTACGTATTAGGTGTTTCAGGGAGTCTGTACCTCTCAAGTAATTCAGCCAGAGGGCAAAGAGAAAGGGAAACATGTCTGGGAAATCAGGATAAAAAGAAGGCTGCATCCCCTAAAAATTTGAGAGAACCCATGAGAAATGCCCCATGGCCTCTCCCTTTATTTGAATTAAGTTGCAGGACTCTTCTGTCTCCTTTTTGGTCATAAACCTCTGGTGTTTGTGGATTAATTTTCCTGACATATTCGACTTGAGCTCTTCCCTTCTGAAAAAATAGCTCATGTAATTAAGACTGTGCTATGGCACATATGTATGAAAGGAACAAAATTAAACCAGGACAATTTTCATTCTCTACTGGCTAAGCTTTCTGCCATCATCGCTTTGTTGTCCTTTCAAAACAGAATTTCTGATTGTAATTCAGCTACAGTCAATTGTAAGAGCAAAATTAGAGTAGAAATTTCGTCTCATCCAAGCATAATTACACTGACAAAGCACTGTATTTCTCTAACTCAGGAACAGGGGAAAACTGTTTTGACCAGTACTTAAAGATCTCAGTCAGACTCCTAGAATAGAAAATGTAGCCCAAATTGTTAAAGCTTAAGAAAATCACAGGAAAATGAGAACAATATTCTAACAGAAAGACACAGTTATAAGCCTCCATTGCCTTGTTTCTAGAATCATAACATAAGACTAGCAGTTTTGTGAAATACCGCCTTTAGACATTCTGAAGCCCATTAAAAATGCCAGGCCTTTATGTATTTTAGGAGTCATTCATTCCACTTCTTGCAGTAAAGGAAAACCACCCCTCAAATCACAAAGCATTGAGATACACCCTTTTGTTTGGGACCTCTTTCACCCAGTGGTCTTTCAACTAATTAGTTTTGACCAGGTGCTACAAAATGTGGGAGGTTTTAGGGAACCTCCTATTACAGAGCAAATTGAACCTCAATGTGGCCATTGAGAGGAAAGCTCATGTCTTTACAACAAATTTGCTGGGTTTTGAAGGTATGGGGTTAACGTGTTTGAAATGGGTCTTAATGTCTGTACTAACTTTGGGCAGCAGGTTTGTTGCAGAGCCCAGACAGCTTGGCTCCTGAAACAAACAAGTGGGTGTGTGCAAGCCAGAGTTTCTGAGCTTTGGGGTAAAATAGTAGGTACCAGGGGGGATATGTGGTAGGCAGTTCAGGAAGGCTGTACCTTCCAAGTACCTCAGCCAATGGGGAAAGGAAGAGGCAACATGAGGCCAGGAGTTTAGGATAAAGGGAGGCTGTGCCCTCTGAAACCTCCAGAGAGGAAACCCTGCAGGTGTGTGCCCCAGTGGACTCTCTCCCTTTATTTGAATGAAGTTGCAGGATTTCCCTGTCTCCTTTTTGGACATAAACCTCTGGTGTTTGTGGATTTTCCTGACACTGTAAAAGGGCTTCAGGGCTGCCAGGGCACTTGGGGCAGCTAAGCCTGGCTGTCCCCATGATGCCTAGAGAGGCTACCTAGAACAGAGGCTAGACAGTGTTAAAGGAATAAAGTAGGTATTTACTAAAAGGCCTTCAAAGGATACACCTTGGGCACTACAAGAGCCCGGCCATGGCTCCTCCCAAGATGGACACCAAGTCATGAGTTTTCACACTTTTATAATTTTTGGTCCATTCACATATTGGGGTTAATTGTCCAATTACAGCTTCAGGTTATGAAGTCCCATCCTCCCAGATTGCTCTCCTCAATTCGCTGCTGTTTATACCTTCTGGGCCTGAAGCTGCAGCAGTGTCCTTGGTTCTCAGGCTGGAAAAGGATTGTTTTGTCTAACTAACTTGTGAAGAGAACTTTCTAACACTTGATATGAAGTTCAGAATTATCTACTAATGCAGTACAGAATCTGGAAAATATGAAAGCTAAATCTTAAGGCATCACCCAGGGGCCATGGGCAGAGAAAACCTGCAGAGCCACTTACCCCAATATCACTCAAGAGCATGTTTTGGAGGTGGATGGGCTCTCTGGGTCGCTGTGATCACATTCAACCTCTGAAACAAGGAATGCATTCCAGCTGTGGTTCCAGGTGTGTGCTCCAGCCATGTGCTGGCTTGGTCGGGGGGTGACACCTGGGTGTTTGCTGGCAGTCTACTTTCACAAGTAATGGGGAGATGGGAGCACTGCTGCCTTATGAGTATTGAACAGAAGACACAAGGTACTTGCTCCAGGCCCACATCAAGAGTGAATGCCTGTTACTTCCAATAAATGCCCCTCTGAAAACCCTTCTTTCCTCTCCTCTTCCTCTACTGCAGGCAGTGTGTTCAGCTCTGACATCCACCCTGACACTCATATGTGTTGCTCAGAGAAAACCTACACTGCAATGGGGACTTTGCAAATGTTGCAGCAACCATTTCCTTGGCAGCAGCAGAAAAAACAGCGGAGCTCGGTTTTGTTTCAGGCTGTGAAGGAGCAGGAAGGGGCCCAGACCCTCGGACTGCAGTGGTGAGGGTGACAGGAGGAAAAGAACTGTCACAGGGAGCGTGGGGATATAGTCACTTTAAGGGCTGGCCATAGGAAATGAAAGGCAGGCAGACAGCATATGAGCCCTCAACAGCAGATGAGGGGGTGTACCAACAGATTTCATCCTGAGTTAGCAAGCTGAAAATGTGATGCACATAAGAAAGAACAAAAAGCTTTGTATTAAAAATGTCTTTTCTAATTTGCTTTTCATTTTTAGTAGTACACTGGTGCATACAATGAGGTATGGGATCATTGGAAAAGAATGTCAGGTTTCAGAGAAGGGGTCACCTTGCAAAAGGCACTGAAAATATTCACAGGAACTGCCTTAACATCTCAGCTTGCACATTTTCATTTGCTTGCATTTAAACTCTTGACTTAGTATGGCAGATATGAAGCAACTGCTGTTGCAAAGCAATTTCGCACAACTTGCTGCAGCTGAAGGAAAGTGATTTACAACACGAATAATAATTAAAGCAAGCCGTCAGTAATTAAAGTTGCTAAAACAGTCATCACAAGGAACAACTGCTTCATGTGGCCGGGCCCTTCCTTTCCACAGGCAGCGAGGGCTTTATTTTTCCACATCCCGTGGCTCCTGTGACAGGCCTTTCGTACCGTACAATACGCGTGGCGCTAGACCACGGTTATCATGTTCTTTTTGGGCCCTAAATTTTATTCTACAATTAAAAAAAAACTCAAAAAAACAAACCACAAAAACCCAACAAATAAAAACCCAAACCAAACGAATAAATAATAATAAAAAAAAATTTAAAAAAAAAGCGACGCACACAGCGGCCGAAACCACGGCGCCGTGCACTGCCACCCCGTTCCCGCCGTGAGGGCGGTGAGGGCCGCGGGCCGGGCCGGGCGGGGCGGGCGGCAGGCGGCGCTGCGCACGCGGCCTCCCGGCCTCCCTCTCTCCCTCCTTTCCTCCCGCCGGCCTCTTCCCGCCCGGTGGCGCCGGAATCAAACCGCGCCGCCCGCCCGCGACATGGTAAGCGGGGCCGCCCGCCCTCCGCCTCGCCCCGCTTTCCTTCCCGGGCGCCCGCAAAGGCTGCGGGGGGGGCCGCGACCGCGGTGATGGCGGGTGACGGTGCCCGCGCCTCGCTGTCCCCCCGCCCCGGTGGCTCTGAGGGGAGCGGGGCTCCCGCTCCGGGGAGGCCCCACGGTGCCGGTTCTGGGGGTGCAGGTCAGCACGGCGTGGGCCGTGCCTTTGGGTTGTTGGAGAGCGATGTAAACGAGCCGGCACCCGGAGTAGCGGCCATAGTGGCCGTGGCTCGGGGTGGGCACGGTGCCCGCTGCTTCCCCCCGGATACGGGAGCCCAGGTGTAGCCAGGCTGAGCCTCTGGCTGCGGGGAGGTGGGAGCGGGCAGAGCGGATCGCAGGTGCGCTCACAGCACCGCATTCCTCCGTCTGCCTGCGGGAGCGGCAGCGAAAGGGATGCTTGTGGTATGGTTAATATTTGTGGTGGGGAACGCCTGCCAGTGAAGTAGGAATTAACGTGAAAGTCAATAACCTTCACGGAGAGTGCTCTTGGCTTCGTTGTTTTGCTCTGTTTCCCGGAGTGGCCGTGTGAAGCTTGACGCCCGAGGGGCGTAGTTATAAGCACGTGGTTCCAGAGGCGCCGCTTCCATTCCACGTCGTGCGTTTTGTTCCTGCTGCTGCTCCTGGCGTCTTCAGGGCTCTTGGAGAAAGCGGGAGGTGGAAGTTAAATCCGTCTGCTTTCTGTTCATGCTCCTGCTTAAATGTTCACGGCAGCTCCAGGTTCTCATCCTGCAATATACTGACATCGCAGGAGGCAGCAGTGCTGACCTAGGGTATCGATGGCTGAAAGAGGAGAGAGGTGACCTAAAAAAATAATAATGGTGCTCTTTGTGACATATAATATTGAATTGCTTCTGCTCCTGTCTATGTATTACTGCAGCTGCATAAGCTAGCTTTTACGTTTGTTTTTTAAAAGTAAATCAATCTGGCCATTTTGCTTTTGGTGTATGTTTTTAAGTGTTATGTGCTGCCTGATCGTGTTCTTTTTAAAAAAGAAGCTGCTATTAAAAAGTAAAAATAGTGTTGACTCTTTTCTGTTGGAAACTTGGAAACATAACCGTGTCTTTCTCACAGTATCTTGTTATTAGACTACTCACTTCCACTGATTTATAGGTGACAATATGCCTTTTGTTTGTTTGTTTTTTAAAATGAGACCTTTTGCTGCCAACATCCTATTTTGCCCTTTCCATCCTCCTTTCCCTTTTTTGTAGCTGCACACGGTGTGTGAATCAGAGTGGGGCAAAGGGAAACTTCAGATTCCAATTGTGGCTGCTGGTTTTGGGTTGTTGAGGATTATGGTAAATGCTATTAATAAAACTCCCAATTCTCTGAGAAATATTTTATATCCTAATTTTATAAGAGGCATATCAAAATAGCACCTCTGAAAGTGACCAGAGGAGATTGTTTCTCAGTTTTGTGTTGTTGATAGCAGTTTGTGAATAGCTATTTCTGCCTTTTGCTTGTAGCTCAACCCAAGTTACTTAATGCTTGGTCACACAACCAGAGAGAAAAGAAATAAAAGCAGCATGGTTTTTAAAATGTGACCTTGAAGTTATGAAGTTGGTTTGGACCTTTGAAGAAGGGCATACCTCAAAATACCTTAAAAAAAAACCCGAATGGCCTACAGCTCACACTACTGTCTGCATATCACAAGATAGAAAGCAATTAAAAAAACCCTAAACCAAACAGAAGGTACTCTTTATCTTTGTAAGAGTTATTAAAATTTGAGTGAGTTTGGTATAAATACATCTTTTGGGATTGGTATGTGTCAAGGAGCATTGAGGCTGGAGTGGGGTTGGGTTATGTGAATGGCTGGCTCCAAACTTAAAGGTAGGTCCCTCCATTTAATAGATGAGCTTAGTGTAGAGATTATTTGCAAAGGAGTTTATCTGAAAGTCTGGGTTTGGTGGTCAGGTATTTTAAAGGATGTCAAATATAACTTACAGGTAAATAGATTTGAATTCTGAGCACATACTAATTCTGATGACTGAATGTCTTAGTTTTTTTTCTTTTTTTCCCCTGTTCTAGTCCAAGAAAAAAGGTCTGAGTTTTGAGGAGAAGAGGGCCCGTATGATGGAGATTTTTTTTGAAACAGTAAGTAACTTGCAATTGTCCTGCATTTACATTGGTGGGAAAACAGGTCCTAAAAGGAGCTTAACTGTGGATGTAGCTGAACTCTTATCCTGGCAGGCATTTTACTGATGCCCTGTGACATCAGGGTGAAAATTACAGGGGCAAAACTTCATTCGTTTAACTTCTGATGAGGTGGCCCATCCCCATGGGGAGACAAGGAATATAGATGCACAGGTGATGTTAAATTCTTCATGTGCTGCTTATGGACATCTTCTCATTTTGAGTCTGTTACCATAAGAAGGGACAGCAGGAAATTAGGAAGTATTTCGCTGCATTTTACAGGAGGAGAAAGAAATCTGAGCTTTAGAAAGACTGAGAGCAGAGTTGGAAAGGGTCCCTGGAGAGAGGAAACCTGGAGATCCAAAAGCTGAGCTACAATTGTATTGGTGGCACATGTAATGCACCATGTTTTACATTTTAGAAAAAATACTGTGACACTTGAGTACTGGAGCAATGTGGTGTCTCTGTGCTGACAGTCTAATCTGGGATTTAAGGGCTTTATAGTCTAATTTGAAATGAAATATGATGGCTTCAGATCACCAAAGGAAAGAGAAGGGCTTGTTACAAGAATAGTTTTTTAAAATTATTTAATTCTCAGAATGTTCCAGTCCTATTGAGGGATATGCAGGCTATTTCCCAAGCAAAACCAAAACATACAATGTATTTCGTACTTGCTTTTGTTGGCATTGATTTACTGTAAAGAACACTCAGGCTTAGATGATGCTGTCATTTGGAACTGAAATGTCTTTTATATTTTGCACAGAAAGATGTCTTCCAGTTGAAGGATCTAGAGAAGATTGCTCCAAAAGAAAAAGGGATTAGTAAGTGTTTATAAAAGTTATTTCTCTTGAGCAAGAAATCATTTTTGAGACGGGTCCTGCAGTGTAAATTTTCCTGGCTACAATCTTAGGTTTGTGATTTTAATAATGGAAAATACAGCTAGAATGGGAGACTGGTCAGGGGCAGGGCTGTAGTGTTAAAAATGACATGGGATGGGGGCTTGCTTAGGCTCTGGGCTGTCTGACTTGCAGTGACTTTCAGTGTATGAAATCATTGTTTGCACTCAGGTATTAAATATATCTGCCTGTAATATCACAAATGTTTAAAATTCTAGTCCAAATATACATGGGCAGTGTGCTCTTGAGCTTTTCTCCTCCAAAAATGGCTGGACAGCTATAGATGGAAGGGGCTTGTCTTTTCTAGAAAAGCCTTCCTGATGAGATCCATTGGTTTAGGATTAGGTCCAACAGGATTTATCTATGCTCTTGGATTGTTTTGTATGTTCCTTATTAGTTTTCCTTCTATGCTCATTGACAAAAGGGAGGCAAAGCATAATGTTTGTGTAGTTACCACTGTCCTTCTCCAGCTTATCTTGGTGGCACTGCAAGAGTAAATGAACTTGCTGAGAGAACTGCAGATGTGAATATCGCAAAGCAGAGTTTTTCAGTTGTGTCAGCAGCTAACAGAGGCATTCATGGGCTTCTGAAGAGATGTGGTGCTCTCTTGGTTGGTATGTCAATGCATGTGTTTAGTTGTAATTTGCAGTAAAATTGAGTTTAGAGTTTCTAAAGCCATTAACACCTTTGAGTAGTCCAAATTCATCCTGTCTCTGCATATGAAGGCATTTAGCCACACAACCCAAGCCCCAGTTACTCTGAAAAGAAAAATTACTAACCTGCTCCCATCCTGACATCCAGCCTATAGCTTCCAAAAGATATGGGACCCCCTGTAATCTTGAAATTGAACATCAGGTACCAAAACCTGTAATTGAGCTCAAAAGTCTTTATATCTGCAACACCTGAGGAGAACATAACTACTTAGCTTTGTTGAACAGGTACCATTTTTTAAAAATGGTGAATTATACCACAGGTTTGAAAGGAAATGATCAGTTGTGTTCAGAAATGTTGATGCTTGTGAGTATAAATGATGTTTTATATTGGAAGTGACTATAATTAAAATCAGGATCTGTCCTTCCTGAGTCTGTAGACAGATAGCTTTAGTGCCTCTGCTGCTGTGAAGTGTATGCTGCTGCATACATTCCATTACAAAGTGAAACGTAATTACACTCCCAGTCAAGAAACTTAAGTTAATCCAAGTTAGAATTAAGATTGCAGGACAACTTCTCAGGTGCCTCTCATGGGTTTATTATGTTATTGTAGTGTAACATGCATTTATTTTGTGCAATACTTCTGAGCAGTGTTTTGCAAACATCTGGTAGCAGATGTGCAGAGTAGCAGCATTTAGGAGCAAACTGCTGGTTTCAGAGAGATTCATCCCTTCAAGTGAAGCTTTGAGCATGTTGTCCTTGAGAAATCTTCCAGCTAGCTGACCCTGGAGGACAATACAGGTGATTGTAGATGGTACTTTGTGGTATTCATAATTCTCCATAGTCCAGCTGCTATGCAGTTCTGATTTTACATTTTTGCTTTTATTAGCCTCGATGTCAGTGAAAGAGATTCTGCAGAGCCTTGTTGATGATGGCATGGTGGACACTGATAGAATTGGAACTTCCAATTATTTCTGGGCTTTCCCAAGTAAAGCTCTTCATGCCAGGAAGCGTAAATTGGAGGAGTTAGAGTCTCAGGTAAATCTGTTTTATGAAAAATACTTGTTTATCTGAATAGGTTTGCTTTTTCTTATACCCCCTTGTCATTTTTGTTTATATCTCTCATGTGTACAAATGTACATGTCACACACACAGATTTTACTGTAGGAATTATCTGTCACTCATAGTAGGGCATTGTCATTATCTTACTGTTACCTCAGGAAAACTGGAGGTTCTTATTGAAGCTTGAGAAAACTTCTTGTCTACTTGCTGCTGAAAGCATGCTAGTCATGATGCAAAGCATCATTTAAGGACTCAAAGGTAGCATGCTTTTGTGTCTTTTATATAAGGTAGGCTATCATGAGGTAATAAAAGTGATGACAGCTGGAATGCATAACCTGAGTAGATGAGGCAATGGTTTCCACTTAGGCCATTGTGTTTTCATCTGCTTTTATTGGTGGCTTAATTTGTGAGCACTTCTGTAATCCCATACTGCACTTTTAGCAGGAGGAAAGAGCAAATTGGTGATGAATCACAGAATCAAGGAATGATTGGGGTTAGAAGGGACCTCTGGAGATCTAGTCCAATTCCCTGCTAAAGCAGGTTCACCTGGAGCAGGTTGCACATGGTAATGTGCAGGTGGATCTGGAGTATCTCCAGAGAAGGAAAGTCAATGACCTCCCTGGGCAGTCTGTTCCAGTGCTCTGTCACCCTCAAAGGAAAGAAGTTTTTTCTCTTACTTATATAAAACTTTGTGTTTGTGCCAGTTGCCCCTTGTCTTTTTGCTGGCCCTCACTGTAAAGAGTCTGGCTCCATCCTCTGGACACCTGCCCTTAAGGTATTTGTATTGATAAGGTCCCCTGTCTTCTGTGGAGTCATCTCTTCAGGCTGCACTGGTCCAGCTCCCTCAGCCTTCCTCATAAGAGAGATATTCCAGTCCCCTCCTTATCTCCACAGCCCTCTGCTGGACCCTCTCCAGTAGCTGCTTGTCTTTCTTCAGCTGAGGAGCCCAGAACAGGGCAGAGCACTCCTGAGGAGGCCTTGCCAGGGCAGAGGACAGGGGGAGGAGAGGCTCCTCTTCAGAAGAGCAGGGCATCTTTCATTGCAACACTGCTGTTCTGTGCATCTGGTTCCTTCCTGCTTTTTGGGAACTGTCTTTCTTTCTGCTTCTAATGGGAGTGGGAAAGCATCTATTTATCAGTTTATTTGCAATGGGAGTACATGGTAACAAGATGAACAAATGAGCTTTTTGAGATTATGTGGTGTGATTGTACTGCAGCACTGCCAACTCTTCCCGTGATTATTCAGCATTATGTTCTTTCTTCAAAGAATCATTTGAATTAATGCAGATTTACTGTTAGCATCTGAACATTTTTACAGCCATTATTTTCTTCAGGCATAGCTCTGAATGAATCTCAGGCATTGCTGTCTTATGTACAATGTTGTCAACTTCAGCTATTTCTTTGTATTTATACAGTTACATCAAAATAATCAAAAGAAAAATGCTTTTTTCCCCTGTCTTGAATTGAAAAGGGAGTTTGACTTAGCTGAATATGGTTTTACTGTTTTCAGGCATGAACTTAACCTGGCACAACTGGACTTAAATTAATTTTTATAGACTGGTAGTAACAATGCACTGGCTCTTATTCCAGTGGAGTTTCATTTGTCTGAAACAGATTAGTTTAACTCTGCACTGAGTTGGAATTGAACTTCCTTGTAAAATTACTCAACTTATTAGTACATTCACACAAGTTTTAGACAAGGCTGCTTACTCTGCCAGCACATAAATTGCCAACTGAAAAACTGAACAAATACATTCCAAAACTCCTGCTTTGTTCACCACACTCCCTGGTGCCACTGTTTTGTCGAATGCAAATGATTTGCTCTTGGATCCTTTTTGTTGTTGCTCATGCTCCATATTATAGCCAAGCAGCTGAAAGAAGGAATTGTATTTGTTGTCCTTGCCCTTGGGCCTAGTCCTATTGTGAATTTTGAACATAATTGGTCAAGCAGGTCTCTGGCATACCCTGATGAATATCTTCTTGGAATGTCTTGCAGAATATGCTCCATGGTAAAATATCCAGGAATTGCCTACAATGGCTTAATGTGCTCCATGGTAAATATCCAGGAATTGCCTACAAAAATATGCTGAACTTCTTTAAATGTACTTTCACTTAAACAAACACATCTACACATCTATTATTATGAAAGTGTAATAGGCATGTAGTTACTGATTTGTGATGCTATTTCTATGTAGAAATATACTATTCTGATATGAACAATTCTGCAATATAAAACTGTTCCAGAAACAGTTTTGTTACCAGAACCTTACTTGCAAACCAAGCCCTGCCCCTGTCATTTGGGCTTGTTGGTATGAGGGCTCTCTTTAGATGATGGTATGAGTCCACAAAAGTACTTCTCTTCATTACCTTGCTTTTCTGATGAGACTGGAAATGTTTCAGCATTTCAGGGAAAAGCATTTTCACTAGCTGAAAATAACTTCTCTGTTGACACAGTGGAAAGGTGGCATTTTCAATGAAAAGCTCTCTGAACGTATTTACAAGATGATAGCAGGTTCTGTCTGTGAGTTCAAATTAGCTCTATTGGTGTTTGTACTCTTCTTGATGTGCACACATACAGATTTTCTTAAGGACTTCTAAATCTAGTCACTGACTATCACAAAACCTCTTGTCAGAACATAAAAAGCAGAGGAAAAGAGTCAGCTGTGGTACCATTTCCATTGCATGTTGCTTGTCTTTGATCATTCCCATGTAGAGCTCGTGGCATGCTGAGAGATGTGTTTTCTCTCTGTGTCTTGTCCACATTGATTGTTAACTACATGAGTGGGTCTCTGTGTAGCAGTTAAAAGCCAGAATCAGGCTGCCTTACTTAAAGCATGTTTAAAAATCCAGCAGTTCAGTTCATACTGCAATTAAGGCTTTTTCCCAGGAGGCATTATCTTTGTTTCCTGAGGGCATGGGTAAATAGTCAAGGGAAAGAGGGATCCCAAGTGCTAAATTGTCATTTGGAAATAATGTGGAGGAACAGAACAGGCTTCTTCATGATGTAAATTCCTCTACTAATTCACAGCACTGAGGCTTATGTTTGACAAGTTGGGCCTGCTACAGGACCTTTTGCCTGCATATGTTGGTACTTCAGAATGTTACAGCCAGGTTGCTCATAGCATTCTGCATTTTACAGAACTTGAGATTGTGGTAGGCTGTTTAAGGAGCTGTTCTTGAAACTTTTTTTTTTGTTTCATATTTTTTGTGATTATTAAGCCACATCCCATCTTGGAGATGCAGAAGCAAAGAAGTCTGGCTTGGTATTCATAATGAAGATCAAGCCAGTATTGTCTGGATGTTTTAAGCTGCACTTCACAGGGGTTCTGTATACACCAGACTTTTTCCAGGAAGGATTTATTACATGATCAGTGTGCAGAGATACCACAGTTAAAAACAATGCTAAAGTTTCTTTTGACAGCTTCCCTGCCTGACCCCATCTTTTGGCTTGCTTTTGTGCAGGCAGGTGTTTGGAGAGGGGCACTAATCCCTGAGGCAGATCTTGTGCAGATCTAATTAGTATCTTGGTGGTGCCCTCTAACCCCAAGTTAGAGGCCTGCTTGGGCCTCTTCCTGTTTTTCTGAAAAGCAAGGATAGCAAATGTCTTTAGTTTGTGTAGCATCTGCTAGAACTATTTCCTCTGATAGCTCCCACAGTGAGAATTGCTCAGCAGGTCCCTTTGGATTTTGTATTGATTTGTTTTGCAGTGGCATGGCTGCTCCTAAAGGTTTGTGCCTTCTGTCAGGTGCTTATTCTTCACCTCTTGGTTATGCTTATGCATCTGTGAAGAGAACCACTGGAAATATGTTGGAAACTGCATTTTGAGGAGATGGGTTTATACACACATTTGTTTTGTTTGCATGTGGAAGTTGCATTTGCTTAAGTTGGGTACAGGTGTGAGATGGTGAAAGAAGAGCAAGGGTGTGGACTGAGAAATAATGTTTTAACAATGTTTGTAAATGGAGAAAATTTTAATGCAGCCTTGCTTGTAAAGAGAACTTTTGAAGCTTTACTGGGGGGTTTGTCTTCCTTCCCTAAGAAAAGGTGAAATGATGTGATCTTCTTCTAATATTTTTCTATCTGTTGGATTTAGAAGCCTGGAGTTACCTAGGATCAGTTATAGTTTGACAAAACAAGATGTTTATTCTTGGTATAACAGTTGTGAGTGAGGAAAAGAGAAATCTTTCTGATGTAGCCTTAGTATAAACAGATTCAGCTTAGATTTTCTTTCATTTTTTTCATCTGTGTCTTGGGCAAAACACTTGAATCTGTGCTGAGAGGGACCTGAAATATCAAGCACTTCAAAGATGTTGTAGTTGTTAGTGTAACTATTGACAGTACTATTAGCACTGTAGTCCAGTAGCTTGGGAAAACAATTAGTTAGTTTCTTTCCTCAGTGTGGTGGTGTTCATTTCACTGTTCCATTTAAAACTGTTCATTTTACTGTGTTGTTATTTGTCTCATTTCTCATGGTGTTGCTCTCTTGCAGGTTAATCTTTTTGTGTTCTGAGGCTTTTACAAGGGAAAGTTTAACAGCCAAAATTGTTAGAGCTGCTCTTCCAGCTAAGGGCAAAATGGTGTCACCTTGAACTGCAATGGAGATGGAACAGAATCTTTTTACACCAGGACACAGGATGGACATTTTGTGCTGTTCCCTGTGCTTGCTTCAACATACTCATGACTAAGAGACTTGAGAGTTGCTGGCAATGTTTTTCTCCCACTAAGCCTTGCATTGGGCCACTGTTAGTTAAGGTAGAAAAGATTAGTTGATGTTTCATTCCTTAAATCCCTGCCCTAGGGCTGGTAAAAGAAGGGATTTTCGCTTCCCATGACTCATATATTGAACCAACCAGAGAATTTGCACTGGGTACATGCTGACTCACATTTGCCAGCTAGTTTGGAAAAAAGGAAAAGAAAAAACCAACAAACCCCACCCCCCAGGCAGGAATGAACTTGTTGAAATCAAGTGACTTCATA